TTATCTCCCTAAAGAGTTGAGGTCTGCGCACGTTTCACATGTTTTTCAGAATTCCGAGGGACACTTAGTAACCATACGCAATAATCAGTATTACGCTGCATCTTTCCCCAATTTAAAAATTCAAAAACGTTTTATGTTTCCTTCTATACCTGCGAGAACCAAAATAAATGCATTATTTCAAACAAACAGCGGTCAAACGTATTTATTATACAATGATGATTCTTATATTGAATTTAATGAAGCTGGAGATGTCTTAAACCGTGGACCCATGAATTATCTCTTACCAGGACTACCAGATACAATAACATCAGCATTCCGCTATACTGATGGGTTTATTTACTTTTTTCAGAACAACACCTATTATAAGTACAGCGAATACACACGTAAAGTTGTAGCAGCAGGAACGTTTAGCTGGGAACTTTTTGGGATACCCTGCCCCAACGACGGGCTATTAAAACAATTAAAAACTTTGTTAAACAAAATTGTAAATATATACGAATAAAAAATGCTCCGTTTATGATGTTGTTTTATTTAAATTCCATTACTCTATATGTATGTTGACTGATGTCTTGCGTCGAATGACACATCATTTCACGTGACATTTCACGTTCTGCGTCAAATGTCACGTCCTACGTCGAATGACACGTCAATTCACGTGACATTTCACGTCCTGCGTCGAATGTCACGTTCTGTGAAAAATGTCACGTCATTTCACGTTCTGCGTCAAATGTCACATAAATGTCATGTCCTGCGTCGAATGTCACATAAATGTCACGTCCTGCGTCGAATGTCACGTCAATTCACGTGTCATTGTACGTTCTATGTCAAATGTCACATAGATGTCACGTCCTGCGTCAAATGTCACGTCCTACGTCGAATGTCACATCATTTCACGTGACATTTCACGTCCTGCGTCGAATGTCACGTTCTGTGACAAATGTCACGTCCTGCGTCGAATGTCACGTGACATCCAACGCTTTGACACCTCATACGTCAAAATCCAACCAATAGCAACGAAGATACGTTTTAACGCTCATTTGGCAACGCCGCCATCTTTGTTTTTTGTCTCCCCGCCTTCTCCCCGTTCCAACGAGCCCTCGTACGTCACGATCGGACCAATAGAAACGAAGATACCCCATAATGACCTTTTGGCATGCTCCGATGCGCACGGCACATACTGCATTCAACCCCATTTTTCATCCCCTTTCCAACGAGCCCTCGTACGTCATCCTACGTTAAGCCGTTTGGAACTTACGACCGGGGGTTGCGATTTTAGGGGTTGCAATTTAGGGGTTGGTCCAGGAAGTACATAGCCTATTTCGCTATACTGCTATCTTCGATTTTTCTATAAAAAGAAGAATTGCATTAAAATGAATTGACAGTTGACGCTGACAGAAGAAGATTTGACAGATGGAAAAGAAGAAGAGTTAAGACGTGACAAATAATTTGACATATGGTTCGGGTCTTGGCTAATCTGTTCCGGTCTTGGCTAAGTCGGCCGGTAATGCAGATCCAATGCTTACCGACATTGGCGCCATGTCTGTCTGGCTGTCTGGCCCAACCGACCCATACTCTGCTTTCATTTTAATAGTTGTTTGCTCAGATCTAGTCCTCTGTACTTTAGAAGTTCGTTCAATATTCTGTCCTCTCCTGGTGATTTTCTATTTTTTAATTTCCTTAACGCTTCCCTTACATCTTCCTCCTAAATATTTATTTCCTCGTTTGTCGTCACCTCTGGTGTTGGTGGTTCATTATCGTCACCTTTAACAAATAAAGATAGAAAGTAGTCTAGCCAAGATTGCGACAGGTTATGGAGCTGATGGCGAAAGAATTTTAAATAAATCAGGAGGTGATCGAAATATTCTTGACTTCTAAGGCAATGCATCCGCTCGACATTCAGCGAATGTTGCCGATTCATTCTCCTCGAATATCTGCTTCATATAATACGCTGCGGTAACTAAAGGCGGGTTGACACGATCCAAGTGTCCTTCGTTAGAACTAGAAGGTCAGCCTTCTAACGAAGTACAGCTATAAGGTTATTGAATTATATTTAGAAAGTACCTAAGTGATTGGGTCATATGTTTTTTTTTCTTTTCTTAATACTTTGTCTTAATAAATTAAATTATTTTAATTTTTTTTGGTAAATTACACATTATATTAATAGATCACATGCTGTCTGTCTACTGTACGTCTGTCAATGTCATTACTTTTATACCATCTCCTGAGTAAACAGTGTGGCTGATAAGCTCAAAATCCTTGTGGTTGACACCACAACGTTTCGCCTTCACCATATTCATCGTCTGGTTTGTTTTTAAGGCTAGATTATCCTAGACAATAATAATAATAAAAAAAAGGAAACTTCTGGTAAGTGGAAAGTTTTCCTTTTTTTTCTGAAGTTGAGGGAGTATGTAGCAGTCACAACTGCTAACATATAATTGATTAATATAATTAATTATTAAAATCCTAAAACTCCCCAGAATCCCGCTTAGGAAACGTTTATGGAAAATAGACGATAGCGATGCGCAGGTGTGACACCTGAGTTGGTCAAGACACGCTTGGCTAAAATCAGATTTGGCCAACAACAGGGATATATGGGAATTTCCCCATCTTGAGTTCTGAGTTGAATAGATATTTACAGAGATAATTCGGAAAATATTCCAAATATTTTCTTTAATAGTGTTGTATGGTTTTGTGGACCATGGCCATAAAGCTTATGCATTCATATTCACTTACTGTGTCGGTGTTTTAGCGTGGGTTCAGGATTGATCACCCTGGATGTGTGCCCTCACTTGGCTCAGAAATATATCAATACATATTACTTGTTCCTTGAGTGTCTCTTAGGTTGAAATTAGAATGTGTCATTTAGAATTGGATCGTTCTGATATTCAGCAGTAAGTAAGTCTGTTTAACTTGGTTTGTTATCTCCTATGTTATTATCTTCTCAAGAATTTGAGTTTAACATATCATAACAAACATTAATAAAAAAAGGAAACTTCTGGTAAGTGGAAAGTTTTCCTTTTTTTCTGGAGTTAAGGGAGAATGTAGCAGTCACAACTGCTAACATATAATTAATTAATATAATTAATTATTAAAATCCTAAAACCCCTCAGAATCCCGCTTAGGAAACGTTTATGGAAAATAGACGATAGCGATGCGCAGGTGTGACACCTGAGTTGGTCAAGACTCAAGACACGCTTGGCTAAAATCAGTTTTGGCCAACAAATAAACAAGGTTTATTTTTCCCAAGCCTCTACCGGCTTTTTGCGTCCTAGAATCGGGTAGAAAATCTGGAGATTTGGTTTAACATTTTCACAAAATCCCGACCATCAAGGGAGAAACCAGAACAACTGAAATGAATAATAAATAAATACGATAAAGAATATAACATGAAGAATCTAGATTGAAAAACCCGGCTTCGGGATCTGCCGAAGTGATTATTTAAAAACCCAGGTGAGCAATTAAATCATTTAATTTTATAGGCATATCATTTTATTGATGTCTTCATTTTCTTTTAAAATATTAACAGTGTAAAATCCGAGTTTTCTCATATGTATCATGTGGCCTTGAGCCTAGACCGTAAATTTATCGGACACCTAATTAGTTTTTCTGTTTTCTGTATACTTACTCGCTATAAAAAGTTTCATGCCTAATTTACTATATGTTCTTTAAATGCGCAGACGCAAAAAAATGACAGCATGACAATAAGCTGATAAAATAAAATAAAATAAAATGTTTGTTTGAGTTGTTGGCCAAAACTGATTTTAGCCAAGCGTGTCTTGACCAACACAGGTGTCACACCTGCGCATCGCTATCGTCTATTTTCCATAAACGTTTCCTAAGCGGGATTCTGAGGGGTTTTAGGATTTTAATAATTAATTATATTAATTAATTATATGTTAGCAGTTGTGACTGCTACAGTACGCTTGGACGTTGCGCGCGCAAAACTTGGAAGCTACTCGTACTTTGATCGTGCCATCTCTTCATCCAAGTACACTTGTATCAACAGGTTCTGTCCAAGTTAAAGGCGGGTTGATACCATTCAAGAAGGCTTGGATTCCAACTTGGACCAAGTGTGCTTGTACCAAGTTGGTTGCCACGGTTAAATGACTTGGATGTCAAATAACTATAGTAAAGATAGCGAAAGTAATTATAAAAGGTATTCTAGCGGTGACAACTCACCCTAATGACTGGTATCAGATGGTAAGATCCTGCAAAAGAAAGAAATTATTCAAAGTAGTGGTAATAAAAGATGATTTCTTGGACTTTATCAGTCTAGAAAAAGGAGTGCTAATCGTTAAAAAAGTTAACACCGGTGGAGAAAAGTTCCTGGGGCAGCCAGTGCAGTGATTCCAGTATAATAATGAAACTGGAATAGTGAAATAAAAACATATTTTAGACTTCTCCAATCCTTTTAAATCTGTAAATTGTCGAAGAACAGGAAAATGCGTTGTATCAAGCACATTGCCTTAAATCACATACAAGCTATTGCCAATTAGTAAGGGGAAAAAGAAAGACCTACTTGATCTTTTCCGCTCATTGATGAAGTTTTTCGTAATTTTTGGGGCCCAACAAGACTTGGATCCCGATTTGGAAGAGTTTGATGTAGATAATCAGTAGTTTTTTTGTTTTCTTTTCCAATTAAAGTTGATAAAGTTGCGTGTTATAAAAATATAAAGCATAAAAAAATGTTTAATATTTTGTCCTGAAAATTTACACTAAGTACAAGATGATAACTTAATAAGAACACAAAAATTCGGCGTGAATAAGTGGGTAAGTTAGATGTTTTTAATCGTAAGTGATACACTCACAGCTCATAATCATGTACGTCATTTGTTGTATAATTACCCACTAATTTCTATGAAACGAAACCAAAATTAAATTTTATAAAACTATTAAAATATTTAAAATGACCATACTGAAAAGTTTATATAGGTTATTTATCGACTTATTCACAGATAATACAAATATATTGTTAAATAAAGGAGCTACCTTACACTTACTTTGGAGAGGAACGAAGAGCACCAAAAAAGAAACTCCACATAACGCCCCCATTCCGATTTCTCTATACAGCAGCCCAGTTCCTACAGCTACTTGAATAGGTCCTATCCATGCAAAATGAACTATGTCGAAAACTTCGTCAAACTTACTAACATCATTTGATAACAAGTTCACTAGCTGTCCCACAGTTGTATTTATTAGAGCAGCATGGCTAAATTTCAGTACTTTTCGGTAGATTAAAGAACTGCAAGCAACTCTTATTTTCATAGCTATATGCTGGAGTCCCATATATGCTGAATGAATTAGAAGTGCATCTGTAAACATACACATCACAAGTCCACCAGCGTAAAAGTAAGCTTCTCGTTTTGATAGTCTTGCTGGAGAAGCCTCGAAGAAAGTGACCAGTTTTCCTATGCACAATGGAATTACAACTCTAAAATATAAAGTTTGTAGTTGAAAATACACTTTTGAAAGTCTTATTTGATTGTTGTTTTAATATTTATGATTTGTGTTAAACTCAAAGTTTCCAAACTAGATGATATGTAGAGATTTAAGGTAGGAACTTCAAAGAGTGGATGGTTATAATATAAAGTGCTTCCCCTCTCGTATCTTCTGAACGGTTATACTTATAATAGTGAAATTTGGAGGAAGGCAGGCTTCTTAACTAGTCATAACAAGTGGCGTAATAGTGACAGATGACGTTACAGGACCAATGGCACAACAATGGTAAAACAATATGACTTTATTGCAAGTGATACCTCGTTTGAACAACCATACTAATTTTGTTTGAGTTTAAGCTTATTTTGATGAATAAATTAAATAAATATACTAAAATTTTAGTTTTGTATTTAACTAATAAATATTGAAACCTCCGCCTCTGGTTACTTGTCGAACCGTTGACGTTTTTCAATTCTTTAATTATTTTTACGTCAACGTTAACTTTTTAACAATCAACCAGAATCTAACGTTAGAATATTTAATAATTAAATGCGAAACTACAATGATTTTAATATAGGTACCTATTCAATCATACTAATTTTGTTTGGATTTAAGATGATTTTCTCGAATAAATTAAATAACTACTAAAATTCTAGTTTGCCATTTAATTAAAAAAAATAAATTAAATCCGCCTTTAGTTATATGTCAAAAAAGTTGACCTTTGTCAATTTTCCAGTTGTTTTTAGTTTGCAAGTGTTTATAGCTTAATATTTAGTTTCTGCTTCGGTTTAGTTTAGTCAATTCTCTAGTTCAATATAAGGTTGAATGTTCGAATAATTGAACTTTGATGGGATAGAAGGCAAATATCGAACACAGCAATTAATTCAATCTTGCCCTCGATCAATAGATCATCCTCAGGGGCATTTCGTCAGTTGTGGCCTATCCGACATAAGCAGAATGTCATACATGTAAATTTGGACATAACAATACAATACACAAAGACAAACACTTTAAAATTTTTAAAAATGGAGAAGCTACATGTTATATAGAAGCCGGAGACAGATTCTGCCCATGAGGATGATCTATTGATCGAAAGTACTTGGGCTAGATTTAATTAATTACTGTGTTCGATATTTGCCTAGTATACCATAAAAATTCTCTAGTTATTTTTAGTTTGCAAATGCGTTTATACCTGAATATTTAGTTTCTGTTTCTGCCTAGTTTACTCAATTTAAGTTTAATCAAGTTGTTTTTAGTTAAATGTTCGTAGTTGATATTCAGTTTGCTCAGTGGTAAGAGCGCCTATCTTTAAACCTAAAGGTCGTGAGTTCGAATCTCACCTGGGTGGAAATTTTCGTTTATTAAAAAAATTAATAAATGAAAATAATTTCTATCCTTGTGTGATCAGTACTCACCGGAGGGACCGCAGACGTTCGGATACAATAAGCGTCTCTTAGCAAAGACAATGACGTCGACTTTGCTAAGTATCAAGACAATTACTCTACACACACAAACACACACACACACACACACACACACACACACACACACACACACACACACACTACATTAATAAACTTATCTTGATTGAGACTGGCTAAATGACAATTGTCCAAGGCAAAACACACACAAAAAAAAAGATATTCAGTTTAATTATTATTTAACGAGTCATCAATTTTTACAAAGGCAGAATGGTACGTACTGTAGCCGACAAAGTAGTGAAGCTGTGTTAATAATTGGTGAATGTGGACATAATTTCCATGCGTTGGAACGTTCTTTTAATGAGAAGTCGCCTTACATCGCCGGAAGCCTATTTGAGGAAGCTTCTTCGGAAGTTTAAACAAACAGGTAGTGTTCAAAATGTCAAACGATCTGGTCGACCAACAATTAGTGATGACAAAAAAAATTGACATAATTTCAGAAATGGTAGTGTAATCTACTTCTTCTACAGCCCAAGTTGCATATATCTATGGAATCAGTCAAAAGACAGTAAACCGAGTGTTGGCTGAAAACAAATTTCGTCCATACAAATTAAAAATTGTACACCAACTTTCAGATGATGACCCCGACCGAAGACAAGAATTCTGTGAAAATATGTCCAATAAAATGAACCAACAACCCGATTACAAAAAAAAATTATTTTAGTGATGAAAGTACTTTTTCTCTCAATGGAAATGTTAATACACACAATATGAGATATTGGAGTGACACCAATACTCACGTCTTTTTTTAAACGCATATTTAATTTGTACCGTGTTAAAAAATTTGGTTTTAACTATGAAATATTTATATATAAAATTTTGTAGTACGCCACTGAGCTTTATATAAATATTCTTGTCTTTCTGTACGCATTTAAAATTCCCAAGAAAGAATTTATTGGTACGTGTTAGATTTTACACTGGAAATGATCCAAGGTTTTACGAGCTTAAGTTAAAGAATTTGTTGATTTGGCAATATGTAAGAGAGTGCGGAGAGAAAGAGGAAGGTGGCTTGCCGGTTTTGAGATCGGAAAGTCGAGGTCAAGTTTAGGTTTTGGAACGAAGTCAGGTTAATATGGATAACGAAACGAGGCAGACGCTGTAGTGAAACTCCCAAGAACCGGCGAATTTGGAGAAATTTAGTGGAAATTTACTTTCTGTAATATGGCAGATTAGGGTAGACTAACTACTATTTGGTTAAATATTTAGGGGATTTGTGCAGTGTAACAGAATATGGAAAATATTTAAAGCAGCGTATAGGGTGTGTCCAATGTGCCGGTGAGTTGGTTTCAACCTCATTTTTATTTGTCTCTGGTCGTCTTTCCAGTCCAGTTTGAAGCAGTCCCTTTTGTATAGCAGAGGTTCCAGTAAATTCCCGTTTAAATCCTCGAAGTTTCAGTGTAAAATTTTGTGTGAAAACCCAGGAAGGAAGAGACTTTCCTCTCCTGCACACAATTATGGTACAGTAACACGTTACCTAGATGAGGAATATTGTGGTAGATTGGACAACGAGGTATGGTAGAATGGCCAGATATGGTAGAATTGTTTAAATAATTATTAATTAAATGAAAAGCTACAATTTTAGTATTTATTTAATTTATTCATCAAAATGGGCTTAAACGCAAACAAAATTATTATGACTGAATAGGTATCTTCAATACCTTTCAAACACGGTATTACTTGCCATAAGGTCCCATTTAAAATTATCTGTCATAGTGGCGCTGTAACGTCATCTGTCACTATTACATTACGTCACCTGTTATGACTAGTTGAGAAGCCTACATCTGTTTATTAGCTCCTTCTAAATGTCACTATGATAGAAATTACCGTTCAAAAGATACGAGGGGGTAACGGACTTTTGACTAGCACTGAGAATACTTGATAGAGAATCTGTTACGTTAAGTTAACGAAACAAATATAGAATAATCATGAAAGGAAAAGACGAATGCAAATCTTAGAAAAAATGACCTCTCTCAGAAAATCTTTCCATTCGTAACGGTCTTAAACCTGTTTTCTTCCACTTTTCATTCTTTTAATTTTTTGAGGTGTATCTATTATCTCACGTTGTATTTATACCTGAGCCACTGTGTCCGTCATCGTTATTGCTTCTTTACCTCATATTGTATATAAATTTGTATTGTCTATTGAGTCATATGCTTATTATAATCGACGAAAATAGGGTGGCGGCAAAAAATCTTTACACAGTGAATAAAACACATTCTTCTTCTTCAAGTTCCACTCCTATCGGAGATTGGAAATCATTCTGGCAATTATAATTTTATTGGTTACTCACCTGAATAGTTCAATTGAACTGCATCCAAACCATTCACGGAGATTGCGTAGCCACGAGATTTTACGTCTTCCTACGCTTCTTCTACCTTTGATTTTACCCTGCATTATATTCCTTAGTAGTTCGTACTTTTCACCTCTCATGATGTGCCCCAAGTATTCCAATTTCCTGATTTTTATGGAATTTAAAACTTCGCATTGTTTTCCTAGTTGTTCGAGAACTTGTTCGTTTGTTTTGCGATCCATCCATGATATTTTCAAAATACGTCGGTAACACCACATTTCGAATGCTTCTAGGTTTTTAATGTTGGATTTTTTAAGTGTCCAAGCTTCAACTCCATACAAAAGGGTAGAGAAAATATAACATCGAAGCATTCTTATCCGGAGCGATATATTGATATCGCGATTACAAAAAAGTTTTCTCATTCTATTAAAAGTTGACCGCGCAATTTCAATGCGGCATTTTATTTCTTTTGTCTGATCTGTATCTTCTGTGATCCATGCTCCAAGTATTTGTACGAAGATATTTGTTCAATTTCTGTATTACCTAGTACTAGCTTAACTTTGATGTTTTGTGCTTTTGCAAATACCATAAACTTGGTTTTCTTCAAATAGATTTTTAGTCCATAATCGTTGCAATATATATTTAGTTGTTCAGCAAGGTGTTGCAGTTCTTCTAGTGTTCCTGCCAGAAGGACGGTGTCGTCAGCATATCTTATGTTATTAAGTGGCTCACCGTTTATTATAAGGCCCTCACTGATCTCGGCAAGCGCTAATTCTGAGATGGCTTCACTGTATAAATTAAATAACAAGGGTGATAAAAGACACCCTTGGCGGACCCCACGGCGAATCTGGATATCCTTGGTCAGTTCGTTTTCAACTTTTACTTTTGCTGTTTGATTCCAATAGAGGTTACAGATAATTCTAATGTCTCTACTGTCTATGTTTTTATTTAATAAAATTTCTTTAAGTCGATTATGCTGCACTCTGTCAAATGCCTTCTCAAAATCAATGAAACAGGCATATACTTCCTGATTAATATCTAAGCATCTCTGCGAAAGAACACTTACTGCAAACAGTGCATCTCGTGTTCCCAGTCCTTCCTAAATCCCATTTGTGTATTACTTATGCCTTCATCTAATTTCTTATCACGTATTCTATTGTGAATTGCTTTTAAAAACAATTTCAAGACATGACTTATTAAGGCTATGGTGCGATGTTCATTGCACTCCTTTGCATTGGCTTTTTTGGGAAGCAGTAATAATGTTGATTGGAGCCATTCTTTAGGTATTATACCTGTTGTATATATGGTATTGAATAGATCCAGAAGAAGATCAATAGATTCAGTATTCACAATTTTAGTAATTCGATAGGAACTTCATCAGGCCCGGGAGATTTACCACCTTTAGCTTGTTTCATTGCATATTCAATTTCTTCTCGTATAATGTCAGGCCCAGTATCATCCTTAAATTCTTTTGGTGCTTCTGTTCTCTCTTTGTCTTCAAAAAGTTGTGCTATATATTGTGTCCATCTCTACATTTTTTGGTTTATATCTATTATAAGTGGACCCCTTTCATCTCTTAGTTACCTAGTTTTTTCTCATTCCTGTTAATTCTCTAATTCTTTTATGCATGTTAAAAAAGTCATATTTTTCTCAATTTCTTCTAGTTCTTGACACTGCTCATGTAACATTCTCTCTTTAGCTTCTTTTATTCTCTTTTTTATTAATCGATCAGTTTCATTATATTTAATTGGATTTTTTGTTTTGAATGATTTTCTTTCATTCATTAATAGTAGTATTTCTTCAGTCATCCAATCTTTATGTTTTCTATTCTTTGGTTTTAAGTTTTCATTTGCTGTTTTAATTATTGCTACTTTTATGTTTTTATATAAAACACATAAATCAGGATAATTGTTATTTTAATTTTACTAATTTTCAATACTTTGTCATATCACACCCTTGTAGTCGATAACAAGCTGGATTCTCTTGGACATGGATTGAGCAAGGTTCATGAAATATTCTTTTTCCGTGGTCACCCGCAAGCTCTTCACTCCTTTTTCAGCTGATTTATGTTGCTCGATCGACACTCTTGAATCTTATTTTTTATCATATTCCAGGCGCTTTCGATGAGATTAAGATCGGGTGAGTTTCTTGGCCATTCCAAAACGTTAATATTGTGATCATTTAAGAACTTTGACACTGTCTTGGCCTTGTGAGTAGAGGCACCATCTTGCATAATATAAAGGAGTCACATTCGTGATTTCCCACAAGTTCAATAAATGTTGTTTTAGAATAATCACATAGTTGCTTGGCCTCAGTGCAACTTGAGTTATGACTTTTTGCCATTGTTCAGGTGTCCAATGCTGATACCTTTTACACAAATCTTTTTTTCTTAGTTGCTTTTGTAAGAAAGCGCTTCTTTGGAGCACGTCGACTTTGTAATGCTAGATCTTTCTGAAGTCAGTGACTAATCGTTTTTGATAATACGCTCTAAAGGAGATCAGGATGTTAATTTTTGAGTTCTGTGACAGTTATATAAGGGATTTAACATCACTTCACATCTGATGATGGTGTCAGGCCTAAATGATGTTTTTTTAGAAGCTACAGAACCAGATTTTCGTTCCGAAATAGTTCCTGAAGGCAACGACGCAGCCGACCATTTCAATTGACAAATCTCTCTTAAAACACTTTCTTAGCAATGTAAAGATTTTTTTGCCGGCACTATATTAAAGACGTTTATGTCATGTTTTCAGGCGTTGCTTAAAATTCGCTTAACAATGAATATTTGTTAATGGTTGATCAAAAGTACTAGTTAATAAAACTGAAAAAGATACACAAAAAACAGAAAAAAATTCCGAAGCAAACCTAAACCCTTGATCCGAAATTTATATACCGCTGTTTATACTTACATTAACATCAACTGATCTACCAGCTTAATAATACCAAATAACACAAACTTAAATCCAAACATCCTAAACAACGCTCTATGCAATGCAGTTATTTTATGTTTAACGAATTCTTCTTTCCAAGTTTTTTCTAACTGAGCGCCTAGAATGCTGGAAGTATGTTCTTTCAATGGTCTAAATAGATCTTCATCTGAGAATTCATATTGATAAGTGTTCTTAAATATAGGAAACATATATCTGCAACAAATATTTACATTATATAAGGATTAGAATGGCAGAATGGTTCAACGAAGAGTGTATATAGGGCCATACACGAACGAAATGAAGCTCACAGAAATATATGAAAGGCGAACCAGAGAAAGAAGAACATTTTTCGAGGAGCTACGACGCAGGGCGGATAAAATATGTCGAGGAGAAAAAAGAAAATGGGAAAATAATAAGATACAGAAAATGGAACAAAACCTCCAAAGCAACGATCTAAGGGAGGCATATAAATATCTTCGACAACTAAGAGAAGGATACAAACCCCGAACAAGTCTGTGCAGAAACCAAACAGATAAGATAATTAGTGAACCAACGCAAATAAAATCAGTTTGGAAAAGCCATTTCCAAGCTCTGCTAGGAGCACAAGGAAGCTCACGATCTTCGGATTTGCGGCACATCGAGGAAGGAGACGAAGAAATAAGCAGCCCGACTCTTAAAGAAGTCAAACAAGCAATACAGGCGCAAAGAAACAACAAAGCGCCGGGATTTGACGATGTCCCTTCCGAACTGTATAAATTAGGTGGCGAACATCTAACAACGCAGGTGCACGCGCTCATATCTAAGGTATGGAGGGAAGAAAAAATTCTAGCGATTGGAAAAATGGGATTATCTGCCCAATCTACAAAAAAGGGGACAAACTTAAATGCGAAAATTACCGCGGCATAACCCTCCTATGTTCGGCCTACAAAATTTTTACATCCATCCTGAATAGGCGACTTCAACCATTATGTGAAAATATTATCGGCGAATACCAGACCGGTTTTCGACAAGGCGCCAAGAGTTCGATAGGGATACCTTTAATAAAATTTCAGGGGTTATCGTAGCGTAAACGTACAAGTCGACAATAGATCAGCTTTTTACAGTAAAGCAAATCCTTAATAAAGCTTGGGAACACGATATTGATGTTCACAATATATTTGTCGACTTCAAACAGGCTTATGACTCCATAAATAGAAGCCGGTTATATAACATCATGGAAAGCTTCAATATTCCCTCGAAATATATCCGACTAGTAAAAGCAACGATGGACTCCACAATAGCAACTGTACGCATACAGTACGAATTAACTGACAGCTTCGAAATAGTTCAAGGGCTGAAACAAGGTGATGGACTAGCTCCAACACTGTTCAATCTGGCCCTTGAATATGTCATCAGAAAGCTGAATGTCGGAAGAGCCAATCTCCTAACAAACAAATCTGTCCAGCTCGCCGCATATGCGGATGACATTAACCTCATGTCCCGCAGAGTGGATGATGCAGCAGAAACATATTCGCAGCTGAAAAAAACGGCCAAGGAGATTGGACTTGAAATAAATACACAGAAGACAAAAATACTAACACAGACGCGGACAAAGCGAACAAGAAATCAAATCAAAGTAGAGGATGACATTGAAACAGTGAAGAGTTTTACTTATCTGGGAGTCGAAATGAATACGGAGGGAACAGAAGAGGCCGAAATTCAGAAGAGAATAATGAAGGGAAATAAAGCCTATTTTTCCCTGATTAACATATTCCGCTCCAAGACGGTACATCGAAAATCGAAACTTAAGGTCTATAAAACTATCATCAGACCGATAGTATGCTATGGATGCGAGACATGGGTTTTGACAGAAAGCACTAAACGAAGATTAGAGGTTTTCGAGAGAAAAATCCTAAGGAAGATCTTTGGACCCATCACTCAAAATGGGATGTGGAGATCTAGATATAACCATGAACTCTACCAACTGTTCAAAGAAGCACCTATTGCAGAGTTCGCTAGAGTACAAAGGCTTCGATGGGCTGGTCATGTGGTACGGATGGATGCCGACAGATTGCCGAGAAAGGCCTTGGATGGTAAAATGCAGGGCAGAAGACCAAAGGGAAGACCACGTAATAGATGGGAGAACGAAGTCACAGCAGATGCGCACAACTTATTGAACGTCAGGGCTTGGAGACGAGTGGCGCGGGATCGCCTTTGTTGGAGGCAGAAGTTACAGGAGGCCAAGGCTCATTTTGGGCTGTAGCGCCATTGGAAGAAGAAGAAGAAGGATTAGAATAAAATTAAATATTAATATTAGCTATATTTAACCACGCTGCTACACTTTAATTTTGTTCATGTCGGTCTGCTCTAAACTGGACCTGTAGAGGAAAAACCGGACTGTTTAATTCATGACAACCTAGAAAACGACAACGGGAAAACGATTTGCGGATCTGCACATGAAAAGTACAAACCATTTATGTCCCAGACAATCTTAGATTGCTGACACAAAAACTAAAAAAAAAACCGATGTAATAGCGATTCAAGAGATGAGATAGACTGGTTCAAGAATTGATGAGAGAAGGGACTAGAGAATATATTATGATATTGTGGACATATCAACCGACACGAAGCAATATAAGCGAAGTAATTAGTCTTTAACTTTAAACAAATAGAAAGCAGAATATGTTATCTACATCTTAAAGGAAAATTCTTTAATTATAGATTATACAGTGTGATACTTGTTCCAGAAATGAACATATTGTTTTTAAAATATAAAATAAAAATTTAATTCTTTAACTTTTCTTAGTGTATAATAACTAGAACACACACTTTATCAAGTTTGAACGCGATACCCTGGCGTTTGGCGTCTGACCGTGTTAAATATTTTTCACACCTAAATAAAATAGGGGTAATCCTTCTCATTTATTACGCATTATATAGTGTTTTATCAGTTCAGTAAGGCGTTTGGCGTCTGACCGTGTTAAATATTTTTCACACCTTAATAAAATAGGGGTAATCTTCTCATTTTACGCAATATATAGTGTTTATATCAGTTCGGTAAGAGCAGTTCTAGTTCGACTCCAGCGGTCGAACGATCCTGACGTGCAGCGGTGAGCAGCGAGCGAAGGCGACGATCAGCGAAGTGTGCTTAGGTGGGGGCGATTGACCTGAAGCGACGGAGCTTATTAGCTCCGGGTGAGTAAGACACCCAGTTTGCTCAGGCCTTTATCCTTTACCAAGGCGAAAAGTGGATGCGAGGCTGTTTCTAAGTTAAACCGCCGAGGGGTTGCCTTTATAGGCCCCTCGCGGAGGCTTTAAATAGCTTCGCGTTTGCGAAAAATACGGGATAACCTCAGTGGGTCGACAGGTATGACACTGTAAGGCCTAGTTTTGAACTCTAGGTCGGACAGAAACGGCCCCTGCCTCTGAGGTTTGTGAAACTTGAAGAGGATCCCTCCCTGAGAAATCAGGGAGTGAACTACCGCGAGGTTGCTGGGACGACACCCAGGAAAACCGTCTGGCAGCGGCTAGACGGGCAGACAAAAACAGAGTCTTCCGAGTAGTAAACTCCAATAATTCTTCTTGAACCTATGTTCTCTGCCTTCCGGCAATATGAGTGATAATCTCCCCCCCCCCCCCAAAAAAGTGATGTCACGCAGGTGACATCACAAGAAAAAGAAGATGATGACAGCCCAAGTCATCCACCCCGTCTGTTGCTACTGCAATACAAATTTACAATAATTTTACCGCGAACATTAATAATGATTCTGCGCCCCAAGACGAAACATCCGATGATGACTACGTCCCCATAGAGATAGAGACCCAAACTGACAGCGAAGTAGAAACGGATGACAGCGTTTCGATCAGGATGGAAGTTTCCATCGACGACGTCGACGAGGAGCTGAGCCCGGCCACCGAGTCGACCGTAGCCCCGCCCCCAACTAACGTGGACATCATCTCCACAGTGACTGGTGCCGAGCCGGAGGTAAGCAAAAAGAAAAAACGCCAGCGGCCGACAGCAGACTCCTCAGAAGATGAGGATGAAGCTAAGAGAACCAAAGAGATGGAGAGCCAAGAAAAAGCCAATGAGCTTTTTAAGTCGGTCAATGCACTGACCGAGCAAATAAAATCGCTCAAAGAAGAGAACAGATTGAGGGAAGAAAAGGCGAACGCCCAAATAAAAAATCTCCTAGCTCAGATGACTGAGCTTCGTGAAGAGAATAAACAAAAAGACGAGGAGATTAAGAAGTTGGTATGCCATATAATGGCACTAACCAACAGAAAAGAAGAATGCCAACCTCTGGGACGCCACCAGGCCACTAAGACCCCAAAGCCCACCATGGGAAATCCCAACCCCGAGTACCTCTGGCAGCGGTGGCAAGCCGAAAGAGCCAAAGGTAACAACAGAGAAGAAAAGCGAAGCAGGATGGACAAAAGTCCAAAAGAAAGAAAAAACAAAAGGCACCGCTACTGAGAAATCAGTCACTAGTAGCGAGAAACCAAAAAAGAATTTGAGTATTGCTGAAAAGCAAACTCAAAAAATAAACGCCAGAAACGACGAAGCGCTCACTAAGGCCGCGAAAGATACGCAAAAACGCAGTGAGCAAAACAAAGCCCAGAAAAACTTGGAGGCAACAAAAAACAAACAAGCAAAGGAAACGACAAAGCCCCAAGTTGAAAAAGAAAACGACGTTAACCCTCAGATACCTACAGAGGTTAACGTTAAGAAAACCGAAACCTCCTGCGATCATCTTAAAGACGGTCGCAGAACATCAAGCAATCCTGCAGAAAGCGGCCAAAAAAGGTATCGTTTCTGACAATAGATTTGCCAGATCAGGCAGATCTATTGTCATTAACACAAAGAATAGGGAAGATTACCTAGGAGTCGTGAAAATCCTAGAGGAGCATTCCCCTAAGGTAGAGTACGTTGCCTACCCAATAGACAGCGATAAGCTGAAGAGGGTTATACTAAAAGGGCTCGCATCGAGCACAAGTACAGAACTTATTCTCAATGAATTGAGAAATAAGGAAATAGACGCAACCAGAGTAAGTAACATGTACTCTAAAAAAGAAGGAAAACACATACGGCCTTTCTTCATGATCGCCCTCAAAGAGGATGACATTCAAAAAATAAGAAAAGTAACAAACTTGTGCTACATGAGAGTTCGTTTTGAAGACGAAATCAAAACAACCAAAGAAACCCTACAGTGCTTTAACTGTCAGGGATATTACCACAGCTCCAAGGCTTGTCATTGCGACTCGAGGTGCGTAAGGTGCGGAGAGAATCATTTAAGCATTGAGTGCGGAAAGAGCAAAGAAACGGCCCCAAAATGCGCCAACTACGACCAGGCGCATACGGCCAATTACAGAGGATGCTCTAAAGCTCCTAAAAGAAAGACCCCTGCCCCCGTCAAACCGGCAGCCAAACCAATAAACCCAGCAACAACAACCGCGGGTTTCAGCTATGCGCAAGCAACCAAAGGAGCCCCACAACAAGCGGCCCCAACAATGCAAGACGCAGCCGCACTCATTGCTTCATTCCAAACGGAATATAACAAAAGAATGATGGAGATGATGTCCGTGATGGATAGGGCCACAAAAATGATGACTGCATTCGGTGAAATAAATCGACAATGCTAGCAAACCATACGGAAGATCTACGCATAGGGTCCTGGAATTCCGGAGGAATTTTCAAAAAACTCAACCTTTGGACGAGATAATAAACAGATTAGAGCTCGATATCGTAGCCCTTCAAGAAACAAAATTAGTGGAAAGGAAGAAAACTAAATTTCCAGGTTACGATATCTATAGAACTGACCACAGAGCAAGATCAGGAGGAACAGCCATACTAGTTAAAAAAGGCTTAGAACACGAACACATCCCAACACCAGGTGGACTGGTCACTATGGAAGCCACGCTAGTAAGATTAAAGGCCAACAACGAAACACTAAAAATAGTGTCAGCTTATGTCAGACCTAACGAACCGATATTCGATGAAGACTTGAGCCTAATCCTCGACACAGATGAACCTACGGTAATTATTGGAGACCTTAATGCGAGATCTCCCAACTGGTTCGATAGAGCGACCAACAACAACGGGAGACGTCTTTGCGGCCATCTCGAAAATAGACCAAATACATATGTGATCGGACCAACAGAACCGACCTGTTTTCACGGACAACTTCCAACACATATAGACATTGCAATCCTACACAAAGTGGGTCAACAATACGAGATACACTCTCTAAATGAAGGCGATTCAAACGCACAATATAATCGTCCTGACCCTGGGAGCAATAGAACTAAACTATTTGCAACCCCACAAAAGAAAAATAACAAATTGGTCAAACTTCAGAAGAATTGTGAGCGAAAACATCGTAACATTCCAACAATAAATACATCACAGAACTAGAAGACACAGTAACAAAACTAGAAAATACGATAATTAACGCTATCGATGCCAGCTCCAAAACGGAAACAGTAGCAAGACAAAAAGGAAGATTCGGAGACATAAGTCACGAACTACAAGAATTAATCCAAGAAAATAACAGAAAAAGAAGAAGAGCTTACCGTACTAGAACAGTAGAAGACAAAAGGATTGCAAATGAGCTAGACCGGGAAGTTAAAAGACAACTACGTAATCACAGAAATGAAAGCTGGGACAATTATATCCAAGATCTAGACCCTAACAAATCCGCCTTCTGGAAATTATCGAAAATCCTCCGACAGGACAAGAAACCCATACCTCCACTACATGGATTAAACGGGATTGTCCACACGGAAATAGACAAAGCTGAAGTCCTAAAGGACGAACTAGAAAGAGCATGTAGAAATAATGAAAACCCCAACGAAGACATAGATTTCGAAGAAGAGGTAGAAAGAACAGCCAGAAGAATAAAGAGAAGAAAGGGCAGAGTAGGAATTATACATACCTCCCCCGAAGAAATAAAAGAGCTAATAAAGCTAACTAACGCCAAAAAAGCCCCAGGTCCTGATAATATCACAAACAGGGCACTGAAAAATCTACCCAACAAAGCTATTGTCTACATAACAAACATCATTAACAACATGCTTAAACTACGATATTTTCCGGATAGATGGAAAGAGGCACATATAATTATGATAAAGAAACCAGGGAAAGACGGCGCTTTTCCGCAAAATTATAGACCTATCAGCTTATTATCATCAATAAGCAAGATAGCAGAAAGAGTCATACTAAAAAGACTCAACGATGAATCGGAAGCATTAGGCACCATACCAGAAGCGCAATTCGGATTCAGAAGCGAACATTCGTGTGAACTACAAGTTCTACGGTTCACGGAATTTGCAACGAAAGGCTTTAACGAAAAAATGTACACGGCAACAGCATTTCTGGACGTCAGTAAAGCATTTGACAGGGTCTGGCACGAAGGACTCATCTATAAAATGAACACCATGGGGTACAGCGAGGCAATGACATGCCTCCTTGGATCATACCTAGCCAACAGAAGGTTCAGGGTTCGAACAGGGGCAACCCTGTCCGAAGTCGGAATCCTGGAAGCGGGTGTGCCTCAGGGAGCTGTGTTGTCGCCTTACCTGTATACCATCTATACGGCCGACACGCCAAAGAACCAGGATCCCTGCCGAGTCTTTACGCTGACGACACAGCAATAGCTGTTAGCTGGAGGAATCCAGATCATGCAGCTAATCATCTGCAGAGAGCACTAAATAGATTCGAAAGATGGTGCATCAAATGGAAATCGCCTTAAACCCGGATAAAACACAGGCTGTAATGTTTAGTCACAGAAGAAGTGTACCTAACCGCGAATTAATGATCGGAAAACACCCCAGTAGATTGGACAAATGAGGCCAAATACCTAGGGGTGTTACTAGACAAAAAACTCACGTTCACACAGCACATCAATCAACAAACATACAGAGCCAAAGCGCTGAAAAGTCAGCTCTCAACGCTTATCGGCAGAAGAAGCAAGCTAAGATTTAAAACCAAAATCAGAATAGCTAATAGCATTATCCTGCCAGTCCTATCATATGCCTCCACAGCATGGGGACACACCTGTAAAACAAACAGGAAAAAGATACAGACAGCGCAAAATCAATTGATAAGAGATGCTCTAAATCTACCAAAATATGTACCTCTGAGAAATTTATACAGAGACTCAGGACAAACAAGGATCCTACATACAATGGATAAAAAGGCATATGAACTTTTTAACGGACTAAATAACCACCCAAGTAGCATGCTAAGAGAGCTGACTAATTACAATGCAAACACCAGGACACTACACAGAAGACCTAAACAGCAAATAGCCGGATATAGGGTCCCAAACTAATAAATGAAGAATGAGATGGTCGCAAAAACGTCAAATAAAAAAATGCAGTCATCAGAAAAACAACCCCCAAAAAAAATCTTATTTTTAGGACTCTGGCGAGAGGGTACAGGTGCCAAGGCACTTAGTTAAGGACAATATACACCGGGGTGTGTGGAGGCCATATACACCCTGCAATGCACACCCCACCACACCGCACACATATTTAGCATGTAAGAATAAAAGGAGAATTGTGCAGGCATTTTTTTGTTCCATCGCCAAGGAAGACCCCCCAAAACCCCAAAAAAAAAAAAAAATGGTTGTTTTTTCTTTTAAATTCAGCAGATTTATTTCAAACTTAAATTCAATTATCTCAACTTAACTTAACGTAATTCATACCAATTTTCTATATAGAAGACCCGTCAGGCCTTCTATATACCGCTGATGCGGAATTGGCCTTTAAGGCGGATCAAATGAATACTGATCCTTCCGCGACTCACGAGCACTGAGACCATGTGCGGCAAACATGAGCTTGGTGGCCGGACCCTCTCGGGTGCCCAGCCGGCGAGGAGAACAAAATTTATTTTGCCAAATCGGCGGCTGAGTGACCGAGCACACACATATCTTTCCGGACATGAAGTCGACAGCCCAGGCTGCCGACTTCATGGACGGAACACACACGCTATTTTTTATTTTTTTATGTTAGGGACTTCAGTCCCGAAGTGCAGTCCGAGTAAAATCAATAGAGTCAGTAAAGTAATTAGGGAGAAAAGCCTAGATGTGGCTACCCCTACAGTTAGGTGGCATAACCACAGTCATTAAAAACAGGAGATGTCTCATTACCCAGGGCATCTCAGGTAACTTTCAGATCATAGCCTCCTCACGTCAGTCGTACGATGAGGAGGGGTGGAGGAAAAGCCTGGGGGTCAGATAGGTACCACTTCAACTAGTGAAGTGTGACCGGTTTGATCTTCGGACATGTGGATCCCATTCTTATATTGGTATACACATGTTCCTAGGGGTAGGGTTGATCGCTTAGCGTGATTGTGTGTGTGTGTGTAAGAGCAGTTCGAGTTGACACATTGCCATGGAGCCATCACAGCAAGTAGTTAAGAACTCGCAATTCACGTGTTAAATATAATATTCTCTCTCCGCCGAAATCGGGCAATTTCTCATAACGTTTTTTCTTTTACGTGTTATAAAGAAAGAGTACATTTGATATTGTATAGTAAGTTACGGCCGTGTTGGGCCTCTCTACTCTTAAAAGATTAGTTATAAATCGATAAACTCAAAAGTGATTTTATTTCTCCGGAGCTATATTTGCTCACATTAAGAATCCTTATCCTTCAACGGTCACTGAAGAACCAAACCTATGGAAACGCATCCATTCACAAGTCCTTTGAAGTAAGGCTTGGAATCAAAAGATTTCCAACTCTCGCGAGGTAGGTAGCCAGTTACAAGGCTCCCTCAATACTTTTGTTCCTCCAGTCTGTCGAGTTTTTATCAGAATTCGCACACTAGCCTAGAGTCCACCTTAGAGATTATAGAGGCTTGGGTATCTGCAACTTGCACAGTGCATTATTGCAATAATATATACCTGGAATATAGAAGCATATTTTAACTGCCATTTAATTTGAAATTACCTAGTTCTCAAATCGACGGCATTCGTCTGATTTATTCGTTTGGATCTTCTTCTTCAAGTGCCGTCTCCATCAATGGAGGTTAGCGGTTATGGTGGCAAACGTTTGTCTATCAAATATTCGTTTGGATAATGAGCATAAAACGCAAAAAACTTTCCTTATATGCTTACTATACCTTTACACTTACCTGTAACGTCAATTGACAATGACAATAAAACATTAACATCAAGTGCAAAATCTACGAAAGTCAAAAAGTAGTTACTTACAGAAAAAATAATTTAGACAAAAAGGTTGGCCTCTTCAACAGGATTTCTATTTTTCATAATCTTGTGTCGTCTATCCATTGTTATCAAAAAGTTTTATCAAATTTTCATTTAGGTACAAGAAAAAATTATTATTTCTAATAATTATATTATCATTGGCTTGCGATTGGCATTGCAACCAGAATGTAACTACCCAAATACGTAACTGTAGCGGAATAGATCAGATGTGAGATGTGTAATATTTGGATAAAACTGGATACCACCATATGATTCTTAACATCTGTCAGAACGTTGTCAATTTTTTTTGTATTTCATCATATCAAAGACAATGCTGAGAATTTATAGAATTTACAAGAGGTATCTACCTCTCTGAGGTTTGTAACAAACAAAATATTAAGTTACCATTTATTGTATTAAAAAACTGATAAGCCATTATTTAAGAACTATTGTTTGTATCAAGTTACAGTTATTTGGTGACTTTCAGTTTCGAGTTTCTCTGTATAAGTCAAATTGTTTTCTCGACTTCTTTCATTAATGTTTTTACATACATATTTTCTTCACCTTCTCTACTTAATATTATTATTATATCTATTATACGATCATTATCTGTAGCATTTTAACTTTCTTAACTTGCACATGTTTATGTGTTCTACATATCATCGGTCTTCGGAAAAACTGGATATGTTTACTATAATAATTATAATAAAATATAAAAGGTCTGACACCCTTCTTCTTCTTTTTTATATAGACATGACTGTCTGTTTTTTAATGTACTTTCAGTAGGTTGTTGTTATTTAGTTTTCGTGGTCTTCCTATTGGTCAACCGTCCCTTGTCGTCTTTACTACTCTGTTGTCATTCGGCTTATATGATCATTCTATTCTACTCTTCTATTTCTTATCCAGCACTTGATATTCTCCACCTTGCATCTACGTCCTATATGTGTACGTCTAGCTCTGTCCCATAGTGTCTTGCAATCAATTTTTTTAAAGTGTTTCCATCTCTGCTGTTTCTAATATCCTTTTTGTCCACTTTGAGTCAAAGTGGACAAATGGTCATGTTTGTGTCGCATATGTCATTGTCATGTCTGATGACTGTTTTGTAAATTTTGCCTTTCGTTTCTTTCCCGGTATTTTTATTTCTCCAAATTGTTTCATTCAGGTAGCCTGCAACTTTATTTGTTCTATTCACTTGATCTTCCACTTAGTTTCGAGCTTTCCGTAGCTAGATAATGTAAAGCCGAGATATTTGAACTCCATCACTTGTTCTTTTATCTGACTTCCCAGTTCCAATTTACATCTTAGTAAATTTACTGTAGTAACCATGCATGACTAATCAACCAGAAGAACTTATGATTACAGTGGCACAAACAAAAATAGAACAAGTAAAAGAGTATATATATCTAGGCCAAATCACTAAATTAAATAAAGAAAATCAGACCGAAGAAATAAAGAGAAGAATAAGATTGGCCTGGGCATCATTCGGAAAACTGTCTTATATTCTAAAGAATTCAAAATACCCCCAATACTTAAAAACGAGAGTCTTCAATCAATGTATACTCCCTGTCCTCACATATGGCTCTCAGACATGGACGTTTACAAAGGAAAATATGGAAAAAAATAGCAAAGACAGAAAGATCCATGGAAAGACAAATGCTAAACATTAAACTATCAGACAAAAAAAAAGAAACGAATGGATCCGTAATAAAACAAAAGTGAAAGATGTCTCAACCCAAGTAGCAAAGCTTAAATGGAAGTTCGCCGGACACACCCTAAGGCAGAAAAATGAAAGATGGACTAAAACAATTATACATTGGAGACCATGGAATCACAAACGTAAAAGGGGAAGGCCACAAATGCGATGGTCAGATGACCTGAAGAAACATGCCGGGTCAAAATGGATGCAAATTGCCCAAGATAGAGAGGCATGGAAGAAGGAGGAGGAGGCCTATATCCAAGGATGGATTTTAAGGGCTGTATATATATAGAACCATGCATACGTTGTAAATCATCTTTACTTTGAGAGAGTAGTATTGCGTCGTCTGCATAGCAGATTATTTTTAGTTGTTTTTCTCTCATTTGGTATCCTTTCTTAGCTCTTACTTTTTTTATTATTTATCCATAATTCGGTTTAACAATAGAGGACTCAGGAAATCTTTCTGTCTTAACCCATTGCCAGCTTCAATAGGGTCGATTAGTTGTTCCACCTTTACTTTTATTGTGTTGTTTTGGTAGATATTTTAGATCGTTTTGATTATTCCTCTCTTGCGTACAATAAGTGGATAACATCCTTTAATTTGACCCGGTCAAATGTCTTCTTAAGGTCCACTAAACATAGATATGCTAGTTTGTTATATTTTAATGATTTCTCCTGAACTTGTCTCGTTATATATATATATATATATATATATATATATATATATATATATATATATAATATATATATATATATATATATATATATATATATATATATATAATATATATATAGCGTTGGTGCATGATCTTCCCGACCTAAAACCTTGTTGTTCTTTTGCTAGTGTTATTAATTCGTGTTCTTTTTGATGAGAGGTATTAGGATGCTTGATCTCCATTCTTGAGGAATTCTGTTTTGTTTTAATATTTTTGGACTAATTTTAATAGTTGTTTGCTCAGATCTGGTCCTCCGTACTTTAGGAGTTCGTTCGGTATTCTGCCTCCCCTGATGATTTTGTAGTTTTTAATTTCCTTAATGCTTTCTTTGCCTCTTCCTCCTCAACATATATTTCTTTGTTTGTCGTCAATTTCTTTACTTATTTTATAAATCTTACTCTCAAATATACTTACTTTATGGTGCAGCAGGAAAAACTCTGTCAATCCTAGTAGAATGGTAGTAGTCAGTTTCATAAGGAGGCGAAACCCAAATAATATAGGATGCCCGCTCTGTATGGACCAACTGTCAAACAGACGAATGACGTCTAATATCTAGGAGTAATAACTTCTTTGCATGTTATCCGCATCCATTCCTTTCCCATTCCTCTTAAATACCTTATTGTGTAGCATTTTCAATTTCATTGATTCTTTTAAGTATATTGAAGTCCCCTCGTATACGAAATATTAAAATCACCTTATATATTTTTGATAGATCCAAAAATATTTCGTACGTATTTAAACCCAAATATCTTTTCATTTCTTTCTTAGGTCGGCCAAGTTGAAATAAACCATTTTAGAGTTGTTTATTTATTTTACTTCGGCAAATTCTTTTCAAGTTTATGCGTCGCAAAAAGATATCTACGTTTTTATTTCCGTTGTTTGTTTATGTTCAAGTTATGCGATCAATTTTAATAGATAATTTCGTCACTCTCGTTGGAGCAGCTTTCAAGAGCGGTTCAGCGTTATGTCCAAATTCACGTCGAATTTGTAAAGTATTCTGTTTTCGTCTTTTGTTATGAAGAATATGTAGCAGTTTGTTATTGGTTTTGTGGCAGTAAATGCTTCAATTATTAATGTTTTGAGTGAAGATTGGAGGACATCCTCGTTTTGTTCTTTTTTGTTCCTGCTTTTATCCAAGGCTTTTGGCAGCTTGGAGATGGAGGTTTTCGTGATGCAGAGAGAGTGGAGCCCCTCAGTTCCAGGTTCCAGTTATGGTTTCAGAAACTTAAGTGTGATCATGTGAATTAAGGTAACATTTTGTTCAAATTTTAAACTAAAAACAGACATTTTTTTTATAAAATAACAATTGCTTTCGTTGACATTTAAAATTGTAAATTTTAAGTTTTGAGTAAAGCTGTCAATTTGTGTTTAGTTTTTTTTTTTAAATTCAATGTTAATTTATGACAGCTCGTTTTAGTATTTTTGATGTTGATTTGTTTTTTTTTTCATGCAATTTTGTAAGTTTTGTAGCAATGGAGTTTGTTAATGGATGACACATGTAAGTTTTTGAATTTTGTATTTCTCCATGTAACTGTTTGTGGTGACACATAAATAAAGGTTAAATTTTGTTGTCTTAACTTTTTATTTATTTTTTTTGAGCCAAACCTTTTTTGATTCTTATTTGAAAAAGATATGTTTTTTATGTTTTGATTTTGTTTTCTAATTATTTCCCTAGTTACAACTAGTGGTTGTAATAGGCATAATTAGGCACCTCAAGTGGCGCCCTATATTAAATTCCTTGAGGTGTTTCTTGTTTATTTTATTTTGTTTATCCCAAGAGCCCTTTATATCATTTTTTTGTAGTTCCCCCATTCCAATGCCCTTATCTTTTACTTATCCACGACCCCAGCTCTCCTACGAAACCCTGAGTGCCGTTCGCATCAGTAGCGTTTATTTTGCTTGCCTTATCTCCACCCCCAATAGTTTCTCCCCCCAATTGTCTACCCTTTGTATTAATACCCCATGTGGTAGGCAAAATATTTACGTTACAAAAATGGCGCGACCATCGTGGGGCGTTTTTTTAGATTTTTGTCCCTTTTCCCGAAGCCACATATCTTTTTCAGTTCGTCCTAAGTTTTCAGTCATTTATATGAAACCCTGTCTTCCAGGGAGTGCCTCGGTGTCCCACAAACAGTTTGTTTATGTATTTGTATTAACATATGTATTGTTGTTTTTTCTAAGTATTGTTCTTGTATTAACATATGTATTGTTGTATATCAACAGATGTATTTGTTGTATATTGACATATGTATTGTTGTTTCTTTTATTTCGTGTACTGTAGAAATTTTTCTATATGTATTTTATGTGTATTGGTAAATGAAAGCAAATATTTTGAGATTGAATATTGAATTTCAAATTATTTACAATAACAAATTATACCGTTGTTGTTACATTTATTTTTGACTGATTTGAGATTTCTTACAGAAAAATCGGTTTTTGTAATTTTGTTTTGTCCGGTCATTTTGAGTAAATGTGTTTATTGTTTGAGTGACTTTTCTTTGAGCTGATGAGTATAGTTGTGTTTTGCCATTTGTCCTAAGCCATTTCATTGTTTTCTCTAATCCCTCTTTGACGGCGTTAGTGTTATGTCACGGGCTAAAAGGAGATTGTGAAAGGGAAGTAGTTCCCAGTGTCCCATTTTGTTCCCTTATTATCCCCCTCTGACGGCGTTT